GGCGTTCGTCACGTCTGAGCGCAAGCCTTGATGACTTTGATGATGATAACCTGTCCCTCTACACGCAGGCTTCTGGTAAGGGGCTTTGTTGATGTGGGAGCTTGGGTGCTAGGAAAGTTTATTTCTTAATACCTTTTCTTTGTTTTAGTTTTTCTTTACCTTTGTGTTTTGTTATTTCATTGACAAAATAGAGTAATCTCATCCAATTTTTTTTTTTATAAAGACGCTGGAGAAGAAATAAGAATGAAAGCAAGACCTTCCTGAAAGTCTTGTTGGAAGTTGCATCTCTGTTGATGTCAGTGCTGATAAAAAAAGATTTTGGCGAAGATATAATTTGAGTTATAGAGTAAGAAATGATGACTTGTAAAAAGTCACATTTGAAATACTCATGATTAAAGATAGAAAAAAAATATCATATACATTTATATTTTCTTTTCTTATCTGTTCATTATTGAATAATTAGGCAACAGAATTTGGCTAACTCTACTTGTATTTTTGAGAAGATTATGATAACTGGAGACATTTGCACATATTTATGATCATGATGTATGGGAAGGTCATGAAACTTGGTCATATTTTAATGGACTAAAGCACTAACCAATATTATTGATTTGGAGGTTATTTCCTTTATTGATTAAATTCCATATTTCTTTAATATTATTTTTTTACTTATACAAAAAGTTCAAGGCAGTCCCTTCAATAATTTACAGTATACGTTTGAGAGTGAATAAAGAAATAATCAAGTTTATGTTAGAATGCTGAGTAAAGCAACTAGTCTGTTTCTTGAATAAGAACAAATGACTTGTATTTCCTGCTGGAAAGATGCTGTTAAGCTCAGAATGAAGTTGTTAATGATTGGAAAACTTGTGTGAGCCGACAGTTGCTAATACACTAAACAGTTGTAAAAGTTTGCGAAATAGTACAAATGATATCCAAAAAGCAGTTGTTGAAACAGAAACCATGCAAGACCTTCAAAAACTTGTTTTTTTACTAGAAAAATCCACAAATTAAGATGATTGTAAGATATGAAAAGCAAAAGAAGACTAGGTACTGTGCACAAGAATTTCAGTGGGAATGTTTTGAATATTACCAGATCTGTCAATTTTAAACAGTTGAATTACATACGAAATATTGAAAACAGGTGATTTAAAAGAGAAGCAAATTCTGGTATTTGAATAATTTGAAATGAATTTGGGTCACATGCAAGTGTATAAGCACAGATTGCTTTAATTACATGAACTTCCTTTGACTAGACTACTACCTTTAAATTGAAGCTCAAGACACTTGCATTGTGTATTTAAAGTTTTTAAAGAAATGAAATACCTGGATATATTCTTGAATAAGGAAAGTGTAGAGAACTGCTCTGTAAATGTACTATAGATGAAATGGACTTGAAGCTTGAGTATTTTTATCAGTACATGATATAGCAAGATAAGATAACCTTTCAGTTATGGGGCTTTGCAAGGACAGAATTTTTTCTTTAATGTCATGTTACGCATATTATTCAGTTATTTTATTCAGAATGTTCATGACAGTGTTTCTATAAATCAAATTGTAATTCTTACCAGACTTAATCCACTGGGATGGCAAGAGTACATGCTGTTTTGTCTATCTTTTTGTTTATTGGTTGTTTTTACACACAGATGGCTTCACAAGTGCTTAATCACCAAGGAGTCAATTACTAGCTCTACCTAGCTCACTTGTTTACCCTTTTGTCTTGAAAATATTCTTGATATTATATTGCTATTAGTATTGTTAATAACATTATGATAATAAAGATATCAACAAAAATAATAACAACAAGGAAAGGGAAATTCAGCTGAGGACACATTGGCTTCCCAATTGGCTCTTTGGTGGCTGAGCACTTTTGGTGCCATATGTGCAAACAAGATTCACAGAAGAGACCACGATAGACAGTGTGATTACCTAGCACCATTGGGTTAATACAGTTGCAAGAATTTTCTTCTGAAAATTTCTGTTAGTTGAATGAAATGTAAATTAATGGAGCTGAGAGAAATGACTCAACTTTTGATTCCGAGACCACATAATTGCCAATCAACTTGATTCTACAAGATATCCTGATATGCATCTATGAAGCATATGCAGAAAATAGTTTTGTAATCTTCCCAAACATTTTTATAATCCTTATGATATATAGGTTGCCAAGTCATGATGTGTACATTCTCAGCAAAAGATTGGGTAAGGTATGTCAAATGAGTCGGCAATGTTATTAAATCTGAAATAACGAATGAGGAAAGATTGACAATTTTGCACTGAATATGAAAAGCCACAACAGAACCCCATGAATGAACTCCTCCTTAAGATGAAATGATGTATTTATGCATTGTGTTTTGCATGTCTGACCGTAAATCTTTAAGGGACACTGGAAAGTTTTTGTTTCTTCTAGAATTCATCACAAAGGCATATTACTTAGAATATTTTTGACATGAGTATGCTATCAAGAGGGAGAAAGTGTGTTGTTATATTAATGAATAATTGA